TCCGCCCCGCGGTCCGGCCCTGCCCGCCGCGCTACCCTGCCCTTCCTGCTGCCCTGTCTTCAATCCTGCGCGCTGCCCTGCCTGGTGACCTACTCGCTGCCCTGCCGTCAGCCCTGCCTGAGGCTCTGCCTGCAGCTCCCGCAGCTCCCAGGCTGGCCCCTCCTAGCCACGGGGCTCCCACCCAGCCCTTCGTGGGACCAGCTGCCATTCCCGCACTGCTTGCTCTCCGGCTTGGCCCTGTGGTGGCTGAGCGTGCAAAGAAACGCTGTCCCAGGACAGAGGCATGGTGGGGAGGGATACAATTTATGCTGAAAAACTGGATTTCCTCTAGTGCCAAGGTTCTCCTCCGGCAGCTGTCCGGGCTGGCCACCTCCAGCTGTCCTGGCAGTCCCACGCAATGCAGCCTGGGTGTCTGTCCCACGCTGGGAGCGGGGAGGGGCCTGTGGGTGCTGCACAGCACCTGGCTGCAGGATGGAGAGGGGGCTCTTCCCTCGTGATCAGCAAGCAGCCTTCTCTGCTGGCAGCGCATCAGGATTCCTGGAAGGGCTTCAAAGCCATTAGCTCCTTGTTTTGTTTGTGATATGCTATCTATCAGAATAAAGCCTTGCCCAGCAGAGCTGCTCCCAGGGTGCGAGCAGAGACGGGACTGTGCCCGCCCTGCCTGTGGAGCCCCCGAGAAGCTGCGCTGTGATTCAAAGAGGCGAGCTACGATCTTGCTGCTAATGAAAGGGGTTTTTCATGCAGCGTGACAGGCGCCGCATCTCTCCCGCTCCCGGGGCTGGAGTGCCACCCAGAGAGGGCCTTTTGCTTTCCCTTTCTCTTGTTGTTTTATTTGTGGCAGCAGATGTTTCTGATGACAGGACAAGACAGGTAGCAGGTCGTGTGAGCTAGGCCTGTGCCGCTGGTGATGCAGCCAGCTCGCTGCAAGCCCTGCTGCCTGTCCCCTTCGGCTCTGTCCCCTCCCCAGAGGCATCGGGTGGGTGGGAAGAGCAGGACTAGTAGTGGGGGCAGGGGTCCGGGGGTCCCTGCAGGGCTGAAGGGAACAGGCAAGGGGAAAGCAGTGCTGCTGATACAGCATGGCGGGATGGCTGTGGCTGTCCCATGGTGCTGATTTGGGGTCCTTTGTGAAGTTTCCCTCTGCCTGACAAATGTCTGGGGTGTCCCCTCCTTGAGGGAAGAGTGCAGGACCCTGTCGTGGTGAGGCTCACGCCTATCGTATCAATAATGTCCATTTGGGGAGTCAATAAAGCCAGACACGATGTGAGCTGGTCCCCACGGTTCAGCAAGCTAATTAAGCTTCTTCTGCTGACCTGGTTTCCAAATCTTGTTAACTTGCTGCCTTCAGAACAACTTGAAATTTCCAGCACAGACAGGCTGGGATTGCAGAAGGCTGCGGAGGAGGATGGGGTGCTTTGGCAGAGCTCAGGGGGCACCAGCGCAGAACCTCTTCCCCTTTGTCCCCTCCCAGCCGGACAGTCCCAGCACCATAGAGCTGCGCCGTGGGGGAGGGGCCGGGGCAGGCAGGGCATCGGGTGCCCCCCATCATGGGATTTTTGGGTTTTGGCACTGGTGAGCTGACAGCAGGGAGCTCAAACCCCTGCCACCCCCCCAACTCAGCCGGTGGCTCCCACACAGGGACCTGGCCGCTGGCCAGGCTGCGGCAGGGGCCTGTGGTGCAGGACACTGGTCAGAGCCCCTCACCATCAGCGCTGTCCCAGGGTGTTTTGGAAATCCCATTTCCTTTTCTTTGACTGAGGAAACTGGCTGCAAAAGCTGCCATAAAAGGGTGTTAGAGATGCCTGAGACAAGAAGTCAGAAATGAGGAAATGTCAGGATGTTAATGCAGCCTCCTTTCATCCATTTGTGTCTGTGCATTGCAACACAGTCTTTCATGGCAATTATTAGATGCGTATTTTTCCCATAAGGCGCCTGCCTCATTCAGTACCCAGCATGTACCACGTAGCTCAGGCTGTGCAGAGGAAGCTGCTGCCTGAAGGACCCTGCGTCGTTCAGTGAAAAGGGACACGGTAGTGATGGGGTAAGAGCACAGAAGAAAAAAAGGTGGTAATTTAATTTAATTGTACTGACGGCTTCCCTGGACACTGGGTTTCTTATCCCTGTGTCCTTGGCCTTGTGAGATGCTGTGAGAGTCACCTGAACCAAACTTCCCCCACCTGGTTGATAACTGTGTTTCTTCTTTCCTGATACCTGACTCGAACACTGGCTGGCTGATTACTGGGAGAGCTGGAAGTTGCTGGCTGCATGTGAAATCACTGGGAGCTGGCCTCAAAATGTATCTTCTGCTATACCAACACCAGGAACTTAGAGAAATCAGGCCCACCACCTCTGCAACTGGTGACCTGGGAAGCCACCACCCGCACGTTTCCGTTTGAGGCTGCGCTTAGCCACTGTCCCTGGGAAGGGGTGTTGGTCCCCTGGGGCCGGAGGGGCAGCCCCTGTCCTGCTGCTGTCTGCTGCAGAGCGGGGTGCCAGGGGAAAGCCCCAGGGAAGGGGATCCCTCCTCACTCGTGCATGACTTGGGGACCAGGTGAGGAATGGAGAGGGGAATGCGAGGGAAATATCGGATAGCAGGTCCCAAGGCCAGGAGAGACAGGGTTAGGAGAGGTCAGAGAGTTAAAAGGTCACGTAAGCATCTCTGCCCTCAAAGTGCATAGAGGGACGGTTCAGCAGCAGCCTTAGCTCTGACATTTCTGTTTTACTTGAAGCCATAGCATCCCTTTCAGCACACCTAGATACAGACAGAAGCATACATAAATGTTTGCAAACACACACACATACAGTCACATGGAACAGCTTTCAGAGGTCTCTCTGTAGGAGCCCCAGGCTTTTCGCCCACTTTCTTTCCCCTTTGACTGGTAGTCATTTTGGTGAACAACCTTCATTGCTGGGCCCTGTGAATCACAGTTGCAGGAGGAGTGGAAATGCCTTGGCCAGAAATCCCAGCTGCAGCCCTTGCTCCAGGGTGCCATAGCACAAATGTGTCTGTCTGTCCCAGAGGCACCAGCTGCCTGAATGCATCCCTGCCAGCCTGAGCTCCCGGCAGAGCTGCCTGCATGTGTGCTGGCAGCGAAAGGTTCTCCTTTCTCAGCAAAAAGATTTAAGTCCAAACAACGGCAGCGAGATGCCCGCAGGGACCCCAGCGCAGCGCAGCACAGCCTGACGCCTCGCGTGGAGCACTGGGCAGGCTGCAGAGAAGCAGGACTCTGACTCATCGGAAGCTGGTGACATTTTCCAAAAAAAGCCTGTAAGTCTGGGGCTGTAATGTTCCCAAAAGGCAGCAGAGAAGCCTAAAGGGTCTGGAGACCCCATTATATCACAGCACATGGTCTGTGTCATGAGATGGAGGAAATTCTGCAGCACTGGGCAGTTCCCCACCCATTTTTCTCTTGTCCCCCACCTCCCCTGTGAGGTGGGATCTGGCAGAAGTGAAGTCAGGAGTGGTCAGATGCTGCTGCCCGCTGCCCTGGTACAAAGCCAGACTTGCTCTTCTAGTGATAACAGAATTACTTTCCAGATGATGGAGATGAACATTTTGCTTTGGGAGTCCCTGGGAGCAACTGGGACCAGAGGCAGTGAACTGGGCAGTGGGTGTTTTAAGAGGGGGCCCTGGGAGGCTATGGTGGGACCTGACAGCACAGTTGGTACCTCATCCAGCACAGGACCCCACTCCTCTTCCTCAGTCACAGCAACCACCAAGTCATTTGCCAGTGGTTTGGCTTTCTTCCAGTTTACACAGCAGCACAACAGCCCTTCCCAGCAATTCCCTGTGTCGGCAGGAGGAGACACAGACAGGCAGAGGCAGATGTTCCCCAGGCTGCCTGCATTAAAGTGATAATCAAATGATAGATTATTTTCAAGCAAACTCACATTTTCAGTCATTAATTT